CCTTCCTCCTAAAAATGGCATGGTTCAATGTATGCGGGTTCATACACAAAACCGCGCCAATGAAGCATGATGCTGCCAGGTTGGTTTTGTCAATCCACCTTCTGGTGGGGCACATGTAAGGATGTAAACTATACACAGTGGCTCAGTCCGATAAATACAGTTGTTTACATTTACAATAGTAATACATCCTTACATGCTGTACCATACACTTATGCAAATCCTTGAAACTTTCTTCTGGAACACCAGCATTTTTAAAGGTAAATCATCTATACACAGCCATGTCTTCCAGTTCGATCCCGGGACGCAACCGCGGACGGGAAAAATACGTGGCGCTGAGGCAGGAAGACCCCTTAGGATCCTGGGGATTCCTCGATTCTCGGCCGAATTCCATGGTGAAAAAACCTGGTCCTCCAAAGGCAGCCAGACTCCAAAGCTTTGAAGAGCAGTATGATATATATATATATACATATACATACATAATATTGTTTCATATTATATATTGTGTATATATATATATAAATTTATATCATTTATAAATACTATGATATAATATGTATATGGAAACTCTAGACATTGAGTTGCAGAAGCTGTGCATACCGCGGGGGGGTTCCGAACATTGGTGTTTCACAATCCCTGGCAAGTCTGGTGTTTCATCAATCCGGGGTTGACATTGCTGGCTGCTGGCCCCCGTGTCACCCTCTGGATCCAACGAAAACATTGGATTCAACTGATTCAACTGATGGAAAATTGGCTGGAAGGGTCGTTTGTACCTTGCTGCTTTTGGTAATCTAAATGGTCATATATAAATAACAACCCTTATTGAATCACCAGTTTATCCAATCCCAAACCATTCAGTTGTAGTTAGTTACAGTTATGTTTACAATTTACAATATCCTGTATCCCATTTATATCCCTAAGTATAGACACCCTTATTTGGTTGGGGGTTGTCCATACCAGAGAAATGATTGGTTGAGATGACGGCTCGCATATCCTTGGGATTGGTTAAGCCACCGAGCAGTATTGAATTATAGCACCCCTATGAATAGTTATAAGTATAGTCATAAACCCCCATAAAATACAGTTTAATGTTTATCCCATCCCAAACCATCCAGTTTAGTTATAGTAGGTTATAATTACAGTTGTAGCTATAGTTATATATCAACCCAATCCATTCACTTCTTCAACGGAATTGAAAGTACTTATTGTAGATTATTTAGTTTCAATCTGTAAAGATAAGAGAAGTGGTTTCATTTATTTTCATCCAAAGGTTGGAAATTACGTCACGACCCGGCCTGATAGACAATTTGATTTGTTTGCACACCCGCAGCTGCCTAACGGGCACTTGTCCATGGAAGATTCGTTTTATTTTTTGGTTTAATCTTGTAGTTCACCTATAGTCAATAGTTGGTGGTTAGCGAATAGTTTTTTCCATCACATCCCATTATCATATCCCCTGTAAAGTCCATTTATATATCTTATCCCCTTATGTAAAGTTCTAGCTTTAAATCAACATCTGGTTGGTGGTTTGGAACATTTTATATTGTTCCATATGTTGGGAAGTTCATCATCCCAACTGACTTTGACTCCATCATTTTTTAGAGGGGTTGGTTGAAACCACCAACCAGGATTTAGCCTCCGGTGATATCTTGGGGATATATCAACCATTTTATGGGATATGTTCATGGGGATTTGATGGAATATACCCTCTGGTAATTTAACATAACTATGGAAAATCATGATCTAACCATGGTTTTCATCATTATTAACCATTGTTAATCCACTATAATCCACTATAATCAACATGATCAACCCTGGGCTCTGGGTAGTCTACCGACCCAGGAGGAGGACGACTTCGCCCAGCGCATCGTTTCCTTCGCGGCCGTTGCCTTCGTCCCATCGCTGCTGCTCTCTGTGGCGGTCTTCCCGCCCAGCAACGAGGCGTTGATTTTCGGCCGGCTGGTGGATCTATGGGGGCTTGCCGAAACAGCGCTGGGCGCTGGGCCACATCGTAAAACCACAATTTTTAATGGGAAAATCAACTAATTAATGGGAAACTATGGGTTTCTAGAAACCATCATTTTTTCTGGAAACTATGAGAAATCACCATTTTTAATGGGACAACCAACTAATTGACGATCGAAACACGAGGTATTTACTATTTGATCTATTTGGGACCTTTCCCTTGGAAGGTTGATGCCCTTGTCGTGAACCTGGAGTTTTCGAGATTGCTCATCTGGAATATATAGAAGCAACGGGCAATTCTAAGGAATTTCACATGGAATACTATATAATTATATACTGACAAGTTAGATGCGTCAAAATTACGAGTTCATGGGTTTGTCATGAGAAAAATCATGTACATTTGGGCCATTTGGGATGTAATAGGATATTCAAATTGGTCGTATTTGAATATATTTGAATGATATCAAGATATACACACACATAATATGATTATGTATGTACATTATTTTTTTTACTACTGGCACAAAGTGGCTCTCACCGCATGTACATTTATATATATATATATAATTAAGTGAGCAAATTTTTGGGAACATTATTGCATATTATATATATATGATATATATATATATATATGTGTGTGTGTGTGTGTCTCTATATGTCCATTCCGCCATGATTCCGATTAGTTACATGTGATTATAGGATGGATGACCACACCACCATCATTAATCCGGGATTTAGGGGTGCGCTCCGGCCATCAAACGTGGCAATGGGAAATCCGCTGTATATATATATATATATATATGAAGGTTTACAGCTGGGAATGGGAAAATCATCTATAAATGGAGGATTTCCTATTTCCACGTTTGATGACCGGAGGGTATTCAGAGAAATCCACGTCAGAGCCAGTTCTGATCCCTACTTTCCAACGAGCAGACCAAGACCGGTAACAACAAATGGCCAACAAAGTCAGGTTTGGGCATAATTATAGTAATCCCAAAATAGATGGAAAAGTAAATCACCATCAAATTAGTGATTTACTTTTCCATCTATTTGGGGATGACTATACGGACTATTACAGGCCGCTCAATCTGACTCATTGTCAAGGAGCAAAACGCTCCAACGACGAACAATTCAAACCATGACACAACCATATCACATGGTTGGTCATGTATCCCCACTATATCCCAGTATATTATATCCGCAAAAACCCTGAAAAATTGGTGTGGTAAACATCCCCATCTTCCGATCCCAATTTGTTTATCCACCATGAGTTTCCCATGATTTTTAAGCCTTGGTTCGCAGGATGGCATTTTCCTGCCCAACATGTTAGCAGCGTTCTCCTACGGTGTTGGCCTCACCATGGCTGTGACCTTCATCCTCTTGCTGCGCATTAGCAGCTTCGTGGACCCGTTGAACAAGAACCTCAAGGCCCCAGCATGCCCTGGGATGGCTGGTTTAGGGTACTCGGATGTGCATCCCACTTAATCAATGGATATAAATGCATTAATGGTTTTCTATCCATACATCAGACATATTTCATCCCATATATCCGGGATATTCCATGAATCTAATTGTTTTTTTCCGTCCATTTACGGTTCATGGGGCCACCCCCAAGTAGAGAATGGCTGGTACCATCCGAAACCAAACTCTGTCAAGGGTCCCACATGAAAATGGACTGGCTGGTGGTTCCAATTCCAGCTCTTTTCATCTCTAAAAGGTGGTGTTTCAATGTTTCTTTGCAGTTTATTTTCAGTGGTGTCTCGATGTTCTTGAAGTGAAACTTCAGCTTATTTTCAAGTGACCATCTCTCTTTTTTTATTTTCCAGATTTTTTCTCAGAAACCTTCCCTGCCACCAACCTCAGGCAACGTCCTATGTGGTGGAAGATAGCCGAAGTCAAAGAAGTTTGGCCGGGGATGGTGGCTACTACAGTTCCTCGGCCGAAGAGGGATTCTACACCCCCTGTTGAAATTTGTTGGGGTATCTGGTAAATTAACATAGACCCTGGCAGTTGTCGGGGTTGGAAGACTAGTTTCCATTATAACTTGGCTATTTTCAGGGTCCAACTGTTAATTTACCAGAGGGTATATTCCGTATTCCCCCATGCAATCATGATGATACTACATGCAAATATACAAATTGATAAAAGGGACAGTCTACATAAATATACATATACGTGTATGTATATGCCACATTAGCTATTCACCATAAATCCAATCATTCGCCTAGCCACACACACACATAATATATATATATATATATACCATCGTTTGGGGGCCCCTCCCTGCAGGATAGTCGCTTCATCGAGGTTTGGTTGATGAAGCCACTTCCGGCAATGGCGTTCTGGACACTTTTGAAATGCGACTTTCCTCGGACATGTTCATATTGAAACTCTCAAAGATATTTACCCTCTGGTTTATAGATGGTTTACCTATTGTAAATGGTGGATCTTTCCATGGCTATGTTGAATAACCAGAGGGTAATACATAATAACACGTATCTTTTTTGCCATCAATCATCGATGAGCTTTCCGCTCCAGATACAAAAACTCGTTTCTGGAGCCAGCCATATCCAGCCATGGAGGCTACCCCGGGCCACCTTTTTACCTGCCACCCGTTACGCCGTTGCCTCAGTGGAGCGTCGCCAAAAGACCAGCGACGAGATTCAGCGCGACCAACTGCTGGGAGAATATCAGACGGGTCCGGCCATGAGTCGCCTGCGCGCCTTGGAGCTGAGGGTTGGGGTTTTCGGGTGAAAGGTTGGAGCCCCAAAAAAACAGATTGAAAGGTTGGAAAACTGGGAAATTTAATATGGAAAACAAGTATGATGGAATATCATCACTGGAAATACTTTTCTATGGTTGGGGTGGTAACTGGAAGTGTGAGGCTGAATTGTAGGTCCCATCTAGATCAAACCTGGACACCGGCAAACGGGGGATGTGTTGAGATTGACCTCAATCTGTTGTTTCCATCACGTTCTTTCACATAGCCTCTGGTTATGCCAAAATAGCTATTGAAAATGGCCATAGAAATAGTGGATTTACCCATTGAAAATGGTGGATCTTTCCATAGCGAACTGTTAGTTTACCGGAGGGTATAGTGCTGACCCTTCGTTTGAGAGTGTGTTGGGCAAGAACCTTAGTCTGACGTTGAACATCATTGAACTGGATTGTTTGCCTCTTACCCCAGTAAACTAACGTAGCTAATGATGGAAAACCGCCAGTTTGAATAGGTGAATCACCTATACGTGGGAAAACATGGTAAAAGGGGGAAACTGGGGAGTGAGGGTTCAAGGTTCAGGTGGGAGGCTGTTATGTTTTTGTTCAATGTTGTAAATCTAAATGTTTGAGTTTGACTGTTTCTTTTTGATTATCTTGCTAAATGTCTTGTTGAGGTTGTTGTGATAATGTTTGGATTGAATGAAGGGGATAATTGTTGAGGTGAGCAGAGTTTCTATGTGTAGGTTCAGGTTCAAATTCTACCAAGCTGTTGTTCAAAGATGTCGAATTATTTGCTTCAAATTCATGTATTGATTGAGGTTAGGCGCTGTGGTTCCTGTTTGGTTTTGCATGTCAAGCATCCTTCAATACCAAAGCCAGTTTGGCACAAATTGACTGAACCGATGTATTGTCCCTTTTCTTCGACATTCCGCAGATGCATCTTTGTGAGGCAGGTTGAGCTTGCGCCAGGCCGGTTCGTCCTGCAAAGCGGTCATGCACGAACACAGCCTGCAAGGGCTTTTCCGGCGCAGACCGTTAAAACTGGTTGGACTTTGTTGAGCACAGGGAGCATCGTAGTGCTGGTTCCCCAAGCTCTCATTCAAAGGTTCCTTCCTGGCTTCTTCATGAACAGGGCAGTGAGGAAGGCTGGGCAAAGGCTGAAAAGGAAAGAGCCCGCCCCTGCACGGCCGCTCGAGGAGGAATACATCAAGGACTTCATCAATTCACCTCAAGGTAAAACTTTGAGCACCCTTTCCTTCTTGGTGGTCAGTGGTTCCCAAGGCATTGGGAAATCAACCATGCTGAACAATCTCATGTGTGAGCATGTGAAGAATGGCAAAAGGGTGCTTCCTCTTGATATTTCTGTTCGTCCTGGTGAGGACTTGAAGCTGAACGAGGCGCTACCCCCAGCGTTACAAGCCGTAGATTTGCCCCGATATTACCCTTCAAATGTCAAATTTTTGCTGGAACGGGTGAATGAGACGTCCAAGCGCCGAACAGGCAGTGCCGTCGTGGTATACCTGCAACTCACAACCAAAAGCCGCGGAGACAAATTTAGCAGGGATGCCTGTGATGACATTGCTTCCACCCTCGGTGCCTTCGCTCGCAACGTCACCTACGACAATGCCGCGTGCAAGTTCATTTTGGAGGTCAGCGTGTCTGCAGTGGCAGACATCATCACAGAAAGGTTTAACATGTCAGATTTGGTGGTGGTGCGACCACTACCTTTCGAAGACTTCACGTCTGTGGTCAAGGAGGTGGCAAAGCAGGGAAACGACTTCCGGACGCTGAACAAGGTTCTTGCCGACGATGAGATAGAGGAGGTGTTGAAGCACTACTACATCCGCACAGGGGGCAACTTCCGCGCCTTGGGCGAGATACTGCGAAACGTCTCCAGAGAAGGTCAGAAAGGTGCGGATGCGGTCATCAAGCAGGTTGAGCAGTGGTACAAGGAGAGGGTGGAACCAATTGAAAAGAAATTGGATGACCAGGAAGTGAAGGACTATCTCCTCAAGGTGGCAGAGGCAGGACCCATGGGGTATCTCCCAGAGAGCGACGAGGAGACCGAGATGAAGTTGAAGCTTCTTCGTGAGGAGCCAGCAGACTGCGTCCTGAGGAGAACAACCAATTTAAGCGTGGCTTTGAAGCACTGGCATTTCGTCGCCAAGCTCTTTCAAGAGGATGAGCAGAAGCTACTGAGGGATGCAGGATACATGTGAGCTTCGCCGGTGAAAAAAACTGTGGCGCTTGAGATGTTTTGTGGGTGAGTCATCCAGAGTAATTTCACATATTGCCTGCATAACGGCAGATACCCAACCCCAGTATCAATGATACCCAGATACCAGTATCTAACTATCAACGATACCCAGAGCCTAGTATCAATTATACCCAGATACCAGTATCCAAGTATCAACGATACCCAGAGCCTAGTATCAATTTCACCCAGATACCAGTATCCAAGTATCAACGATACCCACAACCTATGATACCGTGATACCAGTATCCAAGTATCAACGATACCCAGAACCAAGTATCAATGATACCCTGATACCAGTATCCAAGTATCAACGATACCCAGAACCGAGTATCAATCATTCACCGAACAAGCAACAACAGACAAATCGTTTCACCCTGAATTTTTTTAGCCAAACCATCAAACACGGACAAATCGTTTCACCCTCAACTTTTGACAAAAGCATGAAACACGGACAAATCGTTTCACCCTCAACTTTTATAGCCAAACCATCAAACACGGACAAATCGTTTCACCCTGAACTTTTGAAGACAAAAAATCCTTACTTCAACAAGTGTCCTAAAACCATCGTTTTAGCGTTCAAAAAACATCAATTTAGGACACTTGTTAAAAACACAATTTGTAGAGCAACAGACCCAAAAACACTTAAAGAAATGACGCCTTATGTAATTAAGAATTGAATATGCCCTGCTATATGTTTATAGATGGAATTAATCAAGAAATGGACGAAGACCTTTTTGACCAAATGGCGGAAGCACTACACCAATCCAGCAACCCTCAAAATCCACCAACCACAACATCCACAAGATGGAAACCCGACGGAACTTACGACAAGAAACCATTAGACCCCAATTATTTTTCAATTTTTATCAAAAGAAATTATCAACCCCTTTCACCTGTCCAGACTGCGGACGAACCATCACAAGCAAATCCAATCTATCAAAACACCGTCAAACCAACAGATGTATGAACAGCAGACGACACTGAAAAAAAACATTCTCATTAACAACGCTTTGTTAATCAGAATGTTTTATCTATTCATTGTCCATTCCTGTTTGTTTGACACAGTTGTTCTTTTGATGCCATAGAGCATAGTATTGAAAAATTTCACGCTTACAAAACGGACATTCAACCTTCAAAAGGCGTTGTTCTATTATTTATTTTCTCTTCATTCAAACTGCGTTTTTCTATTATTTCCTCTTTATGTTTGTGATAGTATGCTCTGGCACGTGCCTGGCCTCTTTCATAGTATTCTCTCGCTTTCTCTGGATTGTCCAGTTTCCACTCCTGTTGCTTCCTACCTGCAATCTGTCTATTGACACATTCTGTTGCTTTGATATGCCCCCCTTCTCTTTTGAACAATTCTTCCTTACTTTGACACGGGTAGTTCTCAATCAGTTCAATCTTACAATTCTCAATACCGAATTCATTGAATATATTGCAGTTGTCTTCTTTTTCATCCTCCCTTTGATGTATTCCTTATATTGTTTTCTATGTTTTTCCATTCTTTTACTCAAACTTTCACAAGTGCTCCCAATATAGCATTTGTTATATCCAACATCTGTAATTTTGTAAATCTTTCCCTTTTCATACCTATTCATACCTATATTTACAATAAGTTGCCATTTCTTTAAAACAATTTATCAAGTCAAACGACGGTGTCCTCACGTTGGACTTCAACCCAGAACCCAATGACCTAAAAACTGAACGAGAGCCCAAAAACTACTTAAAGAAATGATGTTTTATATTGTGGTAAAGAACTCAACCGTGATGGAGAATTTAACGCTATGATTGTTAATATAACTCTATTATCAATAGCAATGGACGAACTGAACGATACAAATAAACCTTGCTTAACACAAATGAGAGTGATTGAACACTGGTGGGATGGAATAGGAAAATGGAAAACATAAATGATTAATTCATAATATCTTAACAATATATATTATGAAACAATCTTTAAACAAATCCAAGCCTACAACCGCAACAACCTCAACCAAAACATCAGGTGAAAGTTTTTGACAAAATATCCCCAGAAACCCCATCGCAAAAAACATCAAAGGAAAGGAAAAAACATTGAACATCAACATAAAAACATAACAGGCAAAACACCCTCAACAAAACCTACCCTCATCCAAACCAAACATTATCATTATCACAACAACCTCAACGAAACATTTAGCAAAATTATCAAAAAAAGTCAAACAGAACCATTTAGATTTACAACATTGAACAAAAACATAACAGCCTCCCACCTGAACCTTGAACCCTCACTCCCCAGTTTCCCCCTTTTACCATTTTTTTGTGGGCCATTTCCCACAGTAGCTATGTTTGTTTACCAACCGGAGAAAGACAATTTTCCTTTGATCTTTGCCATCTTGGTTGACGGGCACTCAACCAGAACATCAAACATCCAACCAAAACGCCAAAACCAGATGGCCCCCAAGTTGTGTTTCTTGGTCTATAAGCGCGTTACCCATAGTTTTAGTTGAATGCAAACCCTAGGCCCTAGTCATAGTGGTTTCAAACCACCTTAGCTATCCTTGACCCATTGGGGGAAGCACCAAACGGCACCTTGTTCCGTAGCCCTAGTCATAGTGGTTTCAAACCACCTTAGCTATCCTTGACCCATTGCGGGAAGCACCAAACGGCACCTTGTCCCGTAGGGTCAAACCGAGGTAAATATCTCTTAGGCGCGGCGGCTGTTTCAGCCTTGGGCTGGATTGTAGGAAGCGTCTCAGGGGGAGAGATGCTTGGCTCTTGGGGGCGAAGTCGCCTAGCAGATGGGGGGAAGATTGGGGGAAGCATCGCTGATGCTGTAAGCTTTTGGATTTCCATGATTTATATTGATTGATGATCCAGAATCTGGATGAATCTGGCCGATGCGTTGCAAGATTCAACCTATTTGGATTGCAGAATTGCGTGAAGTCAGTGCCAAATCAGAAGTGACTCCGTGCATCTCCGTGCCCAGGATGAGTTTACGGGAAGACGAGGAAGATGAACGCAAGTGTGGCACCTTGGTGGCAGCTGCGGCTGAAAACAGCATAGGTTTGAAATGTTCTGCTCATGCCCTAGTTCTATACTGGGTTTTGTTTAAGGTGATTTTTTATTTTCCCAATAGGAAATCCACCATTTGGGGAATCTATAGTGAATATTTTTTATTTTTTGAGGACCCCTTAAGCAAATCCAAGTATATGATTTATCTGAACCCAAGAAAAGACAAGGCACTGCCCAGCATCCAACAGCAATGCACAGATTCTTTTAAGAATCAACCAGGCACCTTGCTTGACTCCCAGTCGCAGCTGAGACATGAGGATTTGTTGATGAGAAAGATAGCGATTTGGGTGTCCCTCACTCTGTTGTAGGGCTTCACTCATTGCAGCAGTTGTGGCAGACAACTATATGCAGTTGTTGTTGGTTGTATTGTTTCTAATTAGAAGGTACTATCACTTCTGTCAATTTATATATTTTGGATATATCTATATATACATATATTTGGTCTATGTAGATCTATTTTGTTCAAATCTATGTGTTTTCAGGCTTTCTATATTTCTCACCGCCCCTGTGGCTGAGGAACCCGTTGCATTCCGGGTTTGATGACGGATGATACCAACATCGAGATGAATGGCTACAGACTCTTCCGCTGAGCGGCAGAAAGTGTCGCAGCGAACGCATCGTTGATCATGGTAGGCACATGTCCAAAATCTGTTCAGAACTCTAAATTGACCATGATCCTTAGATTGATCTATATTTTTTTAAATGTTTTCCCCTATTATTATATGCATGTAAGATAAGATGCAAGATGATATGAAAGATGACCTGTCAAAGCAGCACATATTTAAAAAAAATACTTTACTTCGTGTCATCCCCACCGTGACATTTTTACATTTTCTTACTGGCAAATCTTCTGGCATTCTATCTGACATATCTTCTGGCATTCTATCTGGCAAATCTTCTGGCATTCTATCTGGCATATCTTCTGGCATTCTATCTGACAAATCTTCTGGGATTCTATCTGGCATATCTTCTGGCATATATTCTGACATATCTTCTGGCATTCTATCTGGCATATCTTCTGGTATATCTTCTGGCATATCTTCTGGCATTCTATCTGGCATATCTTCTGGCATATATTCTGGCATATTATCTGGCAAATCTTCTGGGATTCTATCTGGCATATCTTCTGGTATATCTTCTGGCATATCTTCTGGCATTCTATCTGGCATATCTTCTGGCATGTTATCTGGCAAATCTTCTGGGATTCTATCTGGCATATCTTGTGTCATTCTATCTGGCATTTTATCTGGCATACCTTCTGGCATTCTATCTGGCATATCTCATAGCATTTTATCTGGCATATCTTCTGGCATTCTATCTGACATTCCATCTGGCATATCTTCTGGCATTCTATCTGGCATATCTCATGAGGTCCGGCAGGGAACACTTGGCGTGGATACTGGCGGTCCGGCAGGGAACACTTGGCGTGATGTGGATACTCGCGGTTGAGGTCCGGCAGGGAACACTGGACGGGGATGGTCGTGGTTGAGGTCCGGCAGGGAAGACTGGGCGTGGATGGTCGTGGTTGAGGTCCGGCAGGGAACACAGGGCGTGGATGGTCATGGTTGAGGTCCGGCAGGGCGCACTGACGTCGATGGTCGTGGTTGAGGTCCGGCAGAGAACACTGTGGATCGCGGGTCGCAGTTGAGCAGGAGGACGAGGAGGACAACGAGAGGAGGAGGACAACGAGAGGAGGAGGAGAGGAGAGGAGGAGGAGGAGGAGGAGGAGGAGGAGGACCAGGCAACTGACATAAAATCTAACAACCCTCACCTGGCAGGTGGGGAAAAAACAGAAAACGGAAAGCATGGCTTCGATCGGAGTCACGGGATGGCTTCGATATGCTTCGACAAGTCTCGCCATCGAAATGTCCAACGGCTCACGGCACCGCAATGAAGATGCGAAAAAGGTCATCTTTCTGGTTTGGTGGTGACTGGAACATTTTTTATTTTTCCATATATTGGGAATTTCATCATCCCAAGTGACGAACTCATATTTTTCAGACGGGTAGGTATACCACCAACCAGCTTTTCAAAAAGCATTGCCGTGATTGCCGGGGTTGGTGCTTCGGATTGGTGCTACCCCCTAGTGATAACCCAAACCGCCAAGGTTGAAACATGGGCAGCAAAAACTCATCCACCTTCAGATTCCACACTAAAATTGGGTGTCATGCGGACTTTCAAACTAACCATAGTTTGATCATGTTCACCAGAGGGCAGCATAAGGTAGGCTAACCAGCATGAGTTTCTGCGAGATAACTCGGTGATATTTCATACCCAGCTGAAAAGATTGAATCTTATATATATATATATAGTATATAACTATATAAATAAGTATAAATATATACTTACTTATATGGTATTCAGGGTAGCTAAGGCCAGCCAAAATCCTTTCATTTTATGGTTGGTAATGTTAATTTAAAATGTTAGTTAAAAAAAACTTGTGTTTACTCCGCATGACAATTCCCATTTGGGGTGGTTTGAAAATATAGTAGCACAAAATTTGATCGCTCATCACAATTTTCCCCATCAAAACGATTGAAACTTGCCTTTTGATGGTAATTATAGCCCATTTTCAGACACACGGTGTGTTTGTTTGCTTTCAGAGAGCTTTCAAGAGACACGCTGCTGATACGGTGGACTCTAGCCTTTATCTGGCGCTGTCTTCGGCCCAACCGTATCCTACGTCAAATTAAGATGATCAAATGAAGAACCTGACGCATCACTTGGCATCCCCACGATCGATTAAAAAGATGCCCAGCTTATGTGTCACACATTTTGACACTAATATGGGATTTAAACATATTTAAACATATTTAAACATATTTAAACTATAATGAAGTACTACACAAATATTGATATTTTACAGTGTATTTTCTGCATTCATTCTACATTCATATGGTAAAAAACCCTAAGATCTGATCCCAAGTAAAAGCTCATTGGTTCATGGCCCATGGCTCGATCAATCCATTGGTTTTTCTGGGGGCGTTTCGGCAATTTTCGGCAATGGCTGGTACCTGGAGGGTGCTCATTGAGGTGCCAATGGTCAACCATTTGGGGATGAACGTTACCACCAATGGAAACATTGGAGATGGTTTATCATCGGATTTACATGGAGACAAACCACGTAAAATAATCCATTGGTTATAATTATATATATATATATATTTATGTATTTTTTAATTGTTATGAATTGTTATATATCTATATACATATAGATCTAGATATATAGATATATGCATATATATATATAATTATATATATGCACATATTATCTTCCATTGTCTCCCCTCCTGCAAGCTTAGTACCACGACATCCCTCTAACATCACAATGTTCTGCCAGTCACTGCACGACTTGGGAAGTGCTTCTTATCGCGTGGCTCGGGCAGCAACTCATGGGTTGAAGCTGGGGCTACTTGGAGTCTTTAGCCTGACTCAGGGTACTCCATCGATTCAGCCATATGTTCATTGTTTGTTCCTCCCTATAAATAGGAAAGATGAACGCCACCAGGTCTGGCGTTGATTTGAAAAAATAGTTTACGTTCAACCTTTCCGGCGTTTCTGCTGTACATTATCTCATAGAATTCATTCATGAGAAATTGATGCCAGGGCATGGTTCAAGCAGAATTTTCCCGCATCGAGTCTCACCACCCAAGCTTCCAGTCGTAACCACAACCCACACACTGATTTTCGCTGCTAATTTCTCATGTTTTCCTTCAAAGGCAACTCGCTGATTTCTCGGAGAAATCCCCACCATATCGCAGCATCTCCCAGGGCATTTACCGTGGATTTTCCCTCCAGGTGGGTGACCACTTGAAGCTCATCGGCCATTCCCTCCAGGGTGGGGCCAGAGATCTCAGATGATCTCAGATGATCTCAGGATCCACGAAAGATGGGAAGGGCCGTGGTTCCATCTGCCGGGCAGTGGCACATATTGCGCATATTGTCCTGGTATTGTGGATTGCAGCCAGCCATTGAAAGTGTGCAGAAGTATCATGAAGTTTTTTTTCAAGTGACTACGCGCAGGAAAGTCATGGTTAAGTTTGGTTTTTTGTGTGGGGTTTTGTGATGAAAAAAGTGACACCTTGCCATCTCAGTTCGGCCTTGGTTACCGCCTGGTTCCGAGCAGTGCCATGTCCGTGGTGTCCGTGGTGTCCGTGGTGTCCGAGGATGGCAACGATCCACGCCTACGGAACCTGGTGGTGGAGGCGCTGGGGGATGGTTGTCTTAGCAGTCTTAGCAAAGCAATAAGAAACTCCACCCATATTGTTGGTGGTTTATACCACCCATTTATTATATAGGATATTTATATATATATATATATATAGAGGATATATATATATATACATATAGGATATAATGATATATATATATAGGATATATGTATATATATATAGGGTAATTATAGCGTATACCACACTAGAAGATGGGTGGAACAAAGGATGAGTCCCACGTCGGTGAAACTACCAAGATGGCTAGGTGCCGGACTTGGAAGCTTCTTACTAGTTACCCCCTGGTAAACATACAGAAAACTATGGAAAATCACCATGTTTAATGATGGGAAAATCATGGAAAATCCACTATTTCGACTGGGTCATTTTCAATAGCTATGTAACAGTCATTACCAGAGGATACATGGATGAATAGATGGACAGATGCACCATGTCTCATATGAGGTGTTCCTTCTCTGAAATCGAATTTCCCGATTTGGGATTTCGCGGCGAGTTTGTTGTGCCGTTCTGAAGAAACGGTGCAGGTGAAGAGTGGTAACAAAACCATGTGGGCAGCCTCAGAGCACGGAGGATTCGGCTGGTTGGTGATTTTCAATGAGAAAATCAGCTGTGATGACCCCAGCATCTCCCAAGTCATATTTTGCAGGGAGTCAAGGCGCCACCAGCCAATACGCGTGTGGTTTATAAAGGTTGGCCCATAGGATCCCAATGGATCCCAGAGGCCTCCTTCAGGATCCCATTCGAACGGTGAATTTGCAGACCTGCCGCTGCTGATTTTTCTTCCAGATTCTATCAAGCGGAAATAATAATAAAAAACAGGGGCCCACCTTCCATAGCACATTCCGGGCACATGAAAACTCTCGGCATGTGGGCAGATTCCGGGCTGGAGCACTGCTGGTTTCAACTACCTGGGAGGTTGATCATGGTTATATATGGTTATGTATCATGTGGCTAAAGCAATAATAAACCACCCCATGTTTTATGGTTTATACCACCCATAAAAATGGTGAATTTGGGGATGGTTTATTATTGTTTTAACAACATTAATCATAAGTATAGTTGTACCCAATATACTGGGGATTATGAACTACCCATAACTACCCCATAGGATCGGGAAACCGTTTTCAACCAAGGCGGACTCCTCCCTTCAGCGCAGCGGTGGGGCAGGGCGATGTCATCACGTTGAACCAGGTGACATGCGTTTTGTTTTGGGGATGAAGGGCTGGAACAACAATCAAAAACCATGAAAAAGATAGATAGATAGATAGATAGATAGATAGTTAGATAGATAGATAGTTAGTTAGATAGATAGATAGTTAGTTAGATAGATAGATAGATAGACAGTTAGTTAGATAGATAGA